GTTGCACATTAGTTTCGTTACAAGGCTGGTTTGGCTTTGTAATGTACTGTCATCGATCGATAATGTGAGTAGGTCGGCGATCAGACCACCTTGTTTCCCGAAAAACTTAAAATAGAACAACACTTATTTAGATTCTACATGTATAACATCCAGTCGTAAAATAATACAGACTACTTTGATTAATTTACACAAAGTATTTTTATTTTTTTATGCATGCAGTTTGAATCATCGTCCACGATCAGTGTTACATAGATCTACATGTCCCATGCCACTGTGAAATAATTGTGCCACTGTTCCATTCACTACCATCATTACGTAATGTGAACCTCAGCAAGTAATATCTGTACGACGCTCTTTCCTACACCGCGGGGTCAGTTTCTTGGACCCCGATGACAGCGGTATATCGAGGGATCACTGTATATGTTTAATTTACCAGCCGCTTCCTGGTGCTTCGTTATTCCTTATAGTAACACCCTCGCTAGCATTTTCTATTCTCCGCCGACTGCCGTGTAGTTGGTCATCATCCGTTGTTCGCATGTCGAGCAACAGTGCATACTTCGTGGTAAGGAATTCAGCCATCGATACACCCCTGAGAGATAGATCTTTCACGACCGTGTTAACTTCTGGGCTTCGTTTAAAAGAAGGGAGTTTTTTAATCTCATCCCACTGTTGATATGCTCGCATGCCTTGACTATATAGTTGATTAGGCACGCCCTCGATAGTCAATTCTACTTTTGTAATCTTGGGATTGTAGAAAGCCTCGGTATCTCTTGCAAATGCTTCAGAGGGGTCCTCGAACAACATTAAAATACCCTTCAACGATCTAGCGCGATCGTACAAAATGGCTTAACTTCCGGTATACTGGTTACGAATTTGTCTGGCTAATTCAGGATCTGTTATCATATCATACTCCAGTGAGATATTTTCAGTAGAATAGCTACTAGGATCTTCAGTAGCTTTGATTACTCTGCTGTAGTCATTAAAAGTGAGTTCGTATTCTAACCTATCAGCTAGGGATGCTTGATAGAAGGGCATGTGACTATCTAGTAATTCAAAGTCTAGCGGAATATAGAATTGGTTACCTAATGCATCAGCAACGGCCTTATCTTCTACGACGGTATTATCACCACTATCAGCACCTACACGCAGTCTCAATGTGTTCTGATTACAAATACCTTGGTACTGTAAGTTTTCCCGTTCTTAAGCTGTTCTCCAGAGATCCATGTAACAGAAATATACATCACTGTATATTTCCACCCACCCACACCACCCACACCCCCTACTAATACAAATGGTGTAAAAGAGGGGATTAAAAAGCATTTAAAAGCATTAGGAGAAGCACTGGGTAAGCTCGCTGGGAAAGCCGCGTCTGCACTTCCCGGTATAATAGGGAGTATCGTTTCCTGGCTCTTGAATTTATTAGCAAAGACCACCACTTGGCTTAGTCAAAACTTGTGGGCACTGATCGTAGCAATTGCAGGGCTGTTGTACGTATCAGCTAAGAACTATTTAACCAAATCATGAGTAAACCAGCCGCGACTCCACCTACTATAAGCGCTGTTTTTCTTCATCGATATGTTGGTGATTTTTAGCGGCAATATGTGGTGGCACTTGTGGTTGTGCATCAGTAGATGGTTGTGAAACATGTGGTGTCTGTGGCTTGACTATTCCCATTTCGCCTGTGTTTGTTTTTGTTATTAATTGTCCCCCGCCGCGCGAAAGCGCGAAGCGGGGGATATAGTATTCACGACCGTCCGTACGTCCGTCCGTACGTCCCACCTGTTTGTTGCCGCGATATCTCAAGAACTAAACACTGGATTGTCTTCATATTTGGAACTATGGTGTATATACAAATTCCGCAGACACCAGTCGGTTTTGGTGACCTTGACCCTATTTTCAAGGTCCCAGCAGGCAAATCTGCTTTTGGAGTTGGAAAACGGTGTTGCCGCGATATCTCAAGAACTAATCGCTGGATTGTCTTCATATTTGGAACTATGGTGTATATACAGACTCCGCAGACACCAGTCGGTTTTGGTGACCTTGACCCCATTTTCAAGGTCACAGCAGACATCTGCTTTTGGAGTTGGAAAACGGTGTTGCCGCGATATCTCAAGAATTAAACACTGGATTGTCTTCATGTTTGGAACTATGGTGTATATACAGACTCCGCAGACACCAGTCAGTTTTGGTGACCTTGATCCCATTTTCAAGGTCACAGCAGGCAAATCTGCTTTTGGAGTTGGAAAACGGTTTTGCTGCGATATCTGAAGAACTAAACACTGGATTGTTTTCATATTTGGAACTTTGGTGTATATACAGACTCCGCAGACACCAGTTGGTTTTGGTGACCTTGACCCCATTTTCAAGGTCACAGCAGGCAAATCTGCTTTTGGAGTTAGAAAACGGTGTTGCCGTGATATCTCAAGAACTAATCGCTGGATTGTTTTCATATTTGGAACTATGGTGTATATACAGACTCCGCAGACACCAGTCGGTTTTGGTGACCTTGACCCCATTTTCAAGGTCACAGCAGGCAAATCTACTTTTGGAGTTAGAAAACGGTGTTGCCACGATATCTCAAGAACTAATCGCTGGATTGTCTTCATATTTGGTACTATGGTGTATATACAGGCGGGGGACATTTCGTCACTTTGTGACAAATACTTGTTAGGTATTAATATCTGAATTTATACCTGGTTTTTGCTGATCGGAAGCAATAACAGTTTTATTATTATAACCGATCACTTGACCGATCTTAAGTTCCATATTAATCGGAGACATGTATAGTCCCGGCGCATAAACGTAGTCTACTTTGGATCGAGCGTACTGTAATACATCTTGACAACACTTTATAGAAGATGGTATGTCAACTGGTGAATTAATAGCATCCTCCACGTTTGCAACAAACTGTTTTTGCGCATTGATCGCCGTCCCAGAACCGATAATGGACGTTCGTGTTTGCGATTGCGCACCAAGAATTGACCATACATAAGTTCTTATTGATTCATTAACTCTTACAACTCCTGGGTTAGTAAAATTATTTTCTGTTTTATCATTAAGAAATTCATTCCAAGCATTTGCGGTATCGTTCAGTTGTACAAATTTTGTAACAATATAAATTAAATCACTCTTAAAACTCATAATATATCATCTCCAATCGTTACTCGAAAGTTCCCATCCGTGATACCAATTATGAGTTTTTGAATAAAGATCATGTATTTTTACATAAAGTTTGTTTGTCTGTAACAACCTAAATGGATTGAATGTTTTTTGGTGAATGTCTTCAACTAAATCATCACTTTCTTCTTTAACAGTTATTTGTCCATTGTACGGAACCGTGGTTAAGTCCTTTAATACGCCAATCTTTACTAGTAGAAATACCAAATTCCTGACAAATACGCTCATACACGAACCTATTGTATGGATTATTTGTGGAATTCCATGCTCGATCCTGCGGTAATGGAGCACTAATTTCTTTAAGTATATGTCTAATCTGATAGTACACGTGAAATGATAAAACAGACTTATTTCGTTCAAATCCTGGGGCATAAAGAGAAACACCACATCCTGTTGTGGCACACCATATGGCAAAGTTTAACTGGTTCTGCCAAAATTGCATCGGATTGTGAAACCAATCAGGCACCATTTTTCGCTAGTTGCAGTGACCCTGTACTTTTCAAAGATATCAGGGAATTTAACGAAAAAAAATAGCACCAGAGGCACTTACTAAAATCGACTGATTAGTAATGTAAGTTGATTTCATATTTAGGTTATGATATAGTATCATTGTATATTTAAAATGTATGTCACACTCCCAGGAATAACAAATGGCCAGTCTATTCAACTGCTTCATACTATCGATAACTCAGCTGGTCAACTTGAAGTCGCTGTATGTGATGTGACATATTACCCGCAGTGGACCAATATAAATGATGCAAGAGGTAATAATGATGGATTTATAATTGGACTCGATGGTGTAGTCAAATCCATCATTATACCTGATGGGTATTACAGCGTATGCTCACTCAATGATGAATTTTTAAGCCTAATGGAATTAGTCTCACACAAAATGAGTCAAATGAGATGCTGATTTTAAGCTCTGAAAAAAATGGTTTCATTATTACCCAGAACATAGCAGCTACACTTGGATTTAGATATAAAAAAGTATTTCCCAAAGAAACATTTTATGGAGTTAAATTACCCGATTTAGTTCCCTATAAAGAGTTGTGCATCCATCTTGATCAGATCAGTACAACGGATAATATTCAACTCGAAAGTCCTTCTACTCTGCTGAGAGCTATTCCAGTCAAAGATGAGAAATACAATAGTGGTAGAACGGAATCTTTCTCAACATTACAATATAAAAAATTAAAGCGGGGTATTATTTCAGATCTCAAAATTTCTGTATTAGATTTAAAACATCAACCTGTACATATAGGATACTTGAGTATAACACTCCATATTATAAATAATGGTTGATTCATTAGGCCCTGGAACGCATAACCTTAGACAATGTAATACAGTTGCGCTTTCCGATCTCGGAGACACAGAAGGATTCGGTAAACCCGGTACCAATGGTAAGTTATACGCTTTACACTTACAAGATAATGTATACAAGCGGAAAGTTGCATTCACAGTTAATCTAGGAGATTTAACTCTTTCATCCCTGGCTGCCCCAGAGTTATGTCCCTTGAAACCCTGCAGTCCCTGACACTGACAAGGCCTGCACACTGGCCTCCCTGGCAGTATTATTGGAAAATCACACTATCATTTTTGATGCACTTTTTCTACCAGAAACTTGCTTTTAATATACATTTTTCATATACCATTGTAAAGAGGATTAAGTATACTGTAATATTCTTTGTTGTTATTGTCTCTAACCTTTGTTATTTTCTAATTACAGGTGTTTACAAGTGAAATAAAACTTGAAAACACTGAAACAGACAATGAATTTTGGCTCAAATTGTATTAAAAATCACAAAAATAAATCACAGATACAAGGTAAACGTAACACAGTGGACTTGTCATCTTGGACGGACGGCACAGGTAATCCCAGGTGTTACAGGTAAATTCTCTTCATGCACATCTGTAAACAAATAAACAAGATTACAACTCTTGGTACTGACTTTGTTTTCTATACTGATGTCACATATTACTTATGATACACTTACAGCCTCTTAGGTAAACTCGTTAACACAGGTAAACTTGTTAACGCAGGTAAACTCGTTAACACAGGTAAAAACACAAATATTTGATTTATTTTGTTCTTTTTCAGGATTTGAAACAAATATTAAGTATTTAAAGGGGCACTGATCTAACGGACTGGTTGTTGCCTTTGTTATTGTTTTTCCCCCGTGAGTACCCGGATGATACGCAACGCAACTGAGCGTGACCAGAGACTGGGGTACCGTCTGCAAGGACAGCTAAATAAACTTGGAGGCTGGAGGCAATATTTGTTTTACGCATTTTTGAACACTGATTGGTTAACTGTGATCTATAAAGATTTCGACAAAGGGCGCATGTTAATTCATTTCTTCAGCCTAAACAAACAGACAAAAAGAACAAGGGAGCTCATCGGATGTCGTCATTTGGAAATACCCCAGATGGTTATAGTTAAATACTAAAAACAGTATCCATGCAGTGAAAGCATTTTCGGATTTCGGCTTGCGTCGATAATACGATTACTACTCCCTTGTTGTCATCCACGTTTTCTGGTATAACCCTACACTTGTGTATTTGTCGTCATTCACTTGATGCTCAGTTAATGAATTTATTACAGGTACAATTCGTGGTAGCACCACTTATATTACCTGACAAAGGTTCCCATTTGGCATTTATTGTGTCTGGGGTAATTATTCAATCTAAATCCAGGTTTGAAGTGAGGTGAAATGTGTGTTATGTAATATGCACGTGGCAGCCCAGCAAGAGATGAATGATCAGTTGATTTACCTTTTTTTGTAAATCAACGGATCGTTCCTAGTCATCAAAGGATTAACAGAAAATATGTTGATTGATTAATCACTGTTATCTTGCACAGTGGATATGTCAAGAGTGAGTGTTTACATGTATAGGTTTACTAAAACAAAGGGAATACACTCATATCATGGCGCGAAGTGCCGATGTAAAAACAACATACTTTGTTCAAAGGGTTAACTGATAATACGTTGATTGATTGATCATTGTTATCTATCACTCAATGGAATTTTTAGGAACCGTGGACGCTATGAAAATAGTTGTCACGTGGGCTTTCTCAGCCGACCATTGAGACTTGACACCTATGTAAAACACCTGAAACAATCCAAGCGATCAGTTGAGAAACGAACACGGGTTATAATATCCCGAAACGATATATATCTTTTAGAATATTTGATTGTTACTGAGACACGTGGCATCGAATAAGTTTCTTTGTACAGCTGCAGACGAGTGGGATATTGTTCCTTTGTGTGGATATTCACGGATACATTCCTCGAACAAGGAAGCTGACTAAAACTTATACACATAAATTTGGTAGGTTGTATTTATGATATCTGCATTTTGTTTTCCTTCATTTGAACCGATTCGTTCTTGTTTCTCTACGTCTTGGTTGGGAAATTCCTCAATGCGCGATAGACGTTGTTGTCACAGGTCTTTTCCTTTGTAAGCGTGTATATATTACCGTCAATTTGTAAAATGTGATTCTCTCAGGCAATTTATAATATGTATAAATATTTCAGTCATTTTGACTAAAAAATCTGTCCAGATTGATCAAGACGATCAAAAGGGCCTACAAACATCACAACAGATTATTATGTAGGATTAAAAGCCAAACAACTTAGAAATGTACTTTTCAACGTTACATTTTCAGTCTCTTGGTGATGACATGAAACATCAAAATGTTTGGAATTCGTTGTCATAATAATACAGATGGAAATGTTTTTCAGTCACTTTGTAAAATAACTGAATATTTAGACGTTTAATAAATTTGTTACACATTTGACAGTAAAAAAATATACACCCTATAAAAAAAGCATATGCTCAGGTGAAATATATACTTTGTGTTGCAAGTCAAAATAGTGTAAACGAAAATCGCAAAATTACCAAGCAAGTGACTTATCAAAACTTCGTCACCATTACCGATGCTACTCACAAAGATACCTACATTTCCTTATTATCTCGAAAACTGTATTTCATTTTGTTCATCAATGTGACCATACGCCCTTATTACTACCCATAAAAGTGACTAATGCGCTTACGAATGGCGCAGCAGAGGTCGCGAACTAGTCTAGATTTCTGCTATACATCCGGTTACTCACTGGGAAAAAACAATAACAAAGGCAACAACCAGTCCCGGGGAATTGCATTAATTCAGTGCCCCTTTAAGTTTTTAAATAGTAATTTATCACATTACCTAAACATTGAACCACAGCTACTATAAGAATGACATCACAGAGAAGATATCACAGATTGATCTGAAAGGAGGGAAAGATCGTAAATTCAAGTTCTGCAAATATACAAGTTGTGATAACATATTTACAATACACTGCTATTTACAATTGCATAATAAATTAAATCAGTACTTTATTACATCAATTAATAAATAAATAAATAATTATTACAGTTACTAAAATTTAAATTAAGATGTAAAAAACAAGAAAACAAAAATGAATATGGAAATAAATTTTATTCAAATTGAGTGAAATATAAGGACATACGACAAACCGGCAAACTACAATTCGGATTGCGATCAGAAAATTAAATTTAAAAAAAAAGAAAGAGATACGTCATGCCACTCACCTTTGTTGTTGTTGTGATCGCTCGTTCACCTGTAGGCTGCATTCTCATTCGTCGCACTGATAATCTGTTCAAACACAGAATCATTGTAAAACAGTTGGAAAAAATCAATAGCACGATACTTCACTCACCGTGTCAATATATATTCTTGAGTCCTGTCGCCTCTTCAAAATCCCTCATGTCTCCACCGTTGTGGTCCCTCTGCCACTCCCATTCTTGAAAGTTGGGGGGGGAGGGGGGGGGCACCTCGTTGAAACCGTCAAAATCTTCACCAAGATCTTCGCAAAATTCCCTCTCCCCTTCTCGTAAATTATTTAAATCAAACACATTATTATTCCCAATAAAGGGTTAAGCGATGTTGACGTTAGTAGACTCAATAAAAACACTTCGTACAATCTTACTCGCAACGATGATAATAAATGGACTATGGTCTAAGCCAACATCGCGTGGCTACTGAATATCGTCATTACCCCACCATATGTGATGATGGGTAAGGCACATAATTTAACTAAGATAATAAATAGTAGGATCGTACTCGGGCTTATATCCCATCAAAACGAAAAAGTGTTTTAGTCACTCCCCTGCCAGAAAACCCAGGTCATATGTTATTTAGTCATCCAGCATAAAAAAATGTTAGTTTAAATTTGGTTACTGAATTCAATGATATTAAACAGAACTTGAGTGCAATACCTAATCCTTCTACGTTTATTATTGAAGTCTTGTTTGGAGATGCACCGGTAGATGCCTTCGAAATATTACCAGGTCTATCAATTAAATGGCTAAAGAAACACCAACGTCAACGTTGTAGTATTATTTATATGGGAGTATCACCCGTTGCAGGTCTTGAGGGGGTCCAAATTATAAAAAGTGATAGCATTTCTCTTACTAAGATATTCATGCCGTACAATATACATTTAATAAGGTTGATGTATACTCTCAAAACATTTAAGCAAGACCAATTAAAGACTATTATATGATATAATAATATACACTATGAGTTTATATCGAGCACTCGATGAAGCATCTGAAAAGATGGATACTGTTAATGGATTTCGATTACATCAAATAAGCGACATAAAACATCGATAGAGAAGGAGAGGGAGTTGAGACTTGGATTGTATTAAAAGTATCGCAGAGCCGTGAATGCTCTGGACGGAGTTGACATCGAGCTTGTAGCAACTGGCATGGGACTCGATGTAGCCGGTGTTGGTTTATTATCAACTATAATCGCCGCGCCTATCGTACTTGGCATGGAAATAGCAACCGGAGTCTCAGGACTGGCAGGAATAGCGATAAAATTCATTTCTCGTAAGTTGCAAAAGAAAGCATTAAAACATGATAATATTCGGATACTCACCGAAGCAAAGTTGAACAGCATTGAGGATCATATTTCAACAGCAATGGCTGATTGTAAGATATCTGAGGAGGAGTTTTGTTTAGTTTTGTCAGAACTCACCAAGTACAACGTAATGAAGCAGGAGAATCGATCTAATTCACGTAAGACCAGTGGTATTAGCGAAGACGAGAAAAAAAACTTCATAGAACAGGGGAGACAACAAGCGCATCAATTATTCCATGCCAAATCCAAAGAACTTGTTGGAGATTAAAAATAGATTGCTTACTATCATTAGATCACATTGAAACGAATGCTTACATAAGTATATAATAATGGAAAATTACAAACCAACAAAGGAAGAACTCGAAAAAGCTATCGAAGCATTTATGCTCAGGTACAAAATTATCAAATGGAGAGAATTACCACAAGGTATATATTATATCAGTGATATCAAACCAACCAAATACGGTCATCAATTGTTTCTTTCCAATTACCAAGAAGAGAATATTGTCTGGACTCCTAGTAAAATGAAGGAAGAACTTATTAAAAATGTTGAATATCACTTTGTTCAAAATAATGGTATACGTATGAATAAAAATAATAGAGAATATTTTCATTACAATTTAGTTTAATGATATGATGAATGTTGAATCGCATCAGCGTTTTGACATAAAAAATTCCCTATGTAGTAGCAGTATAGGTATATGAATCTGGCTCTAGTGGAAGTGAGCCAGAACCATCATTACCTATACTACTGATTAAATTATGATGTGGAAGGGAGTTGGGGAGTGGATAAGGGACTGGGAAGGAAAAGAAAAATTATGCGCCTCCCCAAAGTGAAGTTACATACTTACCCGAACTGTACCTTCACTCATAACTGAACAATGTCCTGTGTACATTTGTTTTAAAATGGGCCATGCCCGCCCGGTTTAAATGGACTCCCCAAGGAGTATAAAATGGAGCGTCATGCTTGGTCTGAGGGTGGGTACATCTTAGACCCCCCTATTCCTTGATCACTCCCACAATCCACCTATTAAGCGATTGTCTTTTCAGTTCAATTCTTTTAACATGGCTGGCCCCTCACCAGGTTTGTCGAGGCAACATGTCAGACCATACCAATTTGGTAATCAGGAGTTTAAGCTGAGCGTATGTTGTGTCCAGATATATGTTGTCATAAAGTTCCTTTGTACCCTTGGTACATAGATCATTTGATCCAATATGGATAACCAGAAACCGCTCTGATCTGTTTTGGATGAGCGTAAACATACCGTTATCTGACTTATATCTGCTGCCACATGAATACCAGACAAAAGACACGCCTTATGCTAGAAATCCTTGGCTGACCCTGCCACCAGCTCGCTGATTCTAAAAATTCCAAAAAATGCAAGCAGGTATGCAGCTGTGAAAAGAGATGTTTTGTACCATATTTTCTTGAGTATAGTGCGCACCCATGTATAATGCACACCCCCCTCTAACGGATTCAATATTTTGGAAAAAAATAAATTCGAATACCAAGTGCTGAAATTTTTTTACACCGTACCCCTTTAGCGAAGTCCGGCAAACGAACGGGTGATGAGAAACTTGGTCAGTACAGGTTCGAAATTTGAGATAAAAGATCACCAGACATGTTGATTTACCATGTAAATTGTATTTTTTGTTCTGCTAGGCATTGTTTTATATCCAGGGATTAGGATTACCTTGTGTATTTTCTCTTAAACTAAGCCGGACACAGCAATCAGCTGTACACATGTTTTCTTGGAATCTACCGGTGATTTGGTCAAGACACACCCAATGATATAACTTTACAGGATTTTAATGCAAGGATCGGCAAAAATTGTATCTGAAACTATTTTTTTATCAGGAATAATATATTCCAATATCTTGTTAATTTAGATGCAGCTTTTACTGAACATATTTAAAATTATAATAACCCTAAGCGAAGCAGCTGATCGCTATTGCCGGGTATTATTTTTTACATGGAACCAGTCTGACCAGTCACCGTCAAGGCTCCCGTGCATGTGATCGCGAGAATTACGTGTTGACATGGAATCGTCAAACAAAAACAAATATGACTTTTAACGAGTGACAGTATGGCATTTATGATATATGTATCCATTCTCTGTCAACTAAAGTTCGTTTCAAGGCGCCAATAGCGGTAATCTGACCGTGGTTGCTGTTAATAACGGTGATTTGTGCAGAAACAACAAAACAAGAAGTAAAAATACACGATTTATTATAAAACTTGGCACAAATTGGGAGCTGGCTCGGTTGTTGCTTATGAATGATATAAGTTTTGTAAGATTGGTTGCAGGGGCAAGCCGGCCTGGACAACCGTGAGGAAGCAGCTGATTGTAGGGGCAAGCCGGCCTGACAAAGAGCTGTGTGTGTGCAGGGGCAGTAGCCGGCCTGCGAAGAGGGATATGAATTATGATTGGAATGTGAAAATGAATTGGGGGAGATTATGAAATAAAATGCCCAAAGCGAGGTAACAACCGATAGCCCCCAATGAATATAAGGTGAAAAGTAGAATAAATGTATGCATGAAATGGTGGTTTAGGACCATTGATACAACGATAATACTGAAGTAAAATAAACTAATGATTGTCACTGCGACACACGAAAGCCAGGTGTAGCTGAGAGTCAAGGGAAGTGTCCCTGTCGTAGTGTCAAGATCGAGCCATGGATGAGTGAGCTCGTCGGATGTCATCTTCAGGGGTACGGATACACCTGGTGAAGCAGTCTGAAGACCATCGACCTAAGGTCTTGATCATACCCCTGACACAATAAATGCCAAATGGGAACCTTTGTCAGGTATTCTGAGTGGTGCTACCGCTAATTATACCTGTAATAAATTCATTAACTGAGCATCAAGTGAATGACGATAAATACACAAGTGTATGGTTATACCAGAAAACGTGGATGACAAGAAGGGAGTAGTAATCGTATTATCGACGGAATCCGAAATCCGAAATCCGAAAATGCTTTCACTGCATGGATACTTTTTTATTATTATCAAACTATAACCATCAGGGGTATTTCCAAATGATGTCATCCGATGAACTCCGCTGTTCTTTTTTGTCTGTTTGTTAAGACTGAAGAAATTAATTAACAAGCGCCCTTTGTCGAAATCTTTATAGATCACGGTTAACCAATCAGTGTTAAAAAATTAGTAAAACAAATATTGCCTCCAAGTTTATTTAGCTGTCCTTGCAAGACGGTAGCTCAGTCTTTTGTCACGCTCAGTTGCGTTGCGTATCATCCGTGTACTCATGGGGGAAAAAAACAACAACAAAGGCAACAACCAGTGCCGGGGAATTGCTTTAGATCAGTGCCCCTTTAATTAAAACAATATTAAAAGGAATTTTGAATAAAATTAATAAAATAAGTTACAAACATAAGTCCAGATATACAAAGAACACTTTTTATAGCCAGACAGTGTAATTACATGACTAATTTGCGTACTTCAGTATGGATTTGTTGACATGGTATTTCCGGTGTTACGAAGCACAAACTACCTGTAATGCTGTGACAATAACAGACAATAAGTCAATTGTAATTGGGAGTCGAGTGTCAGCCTTCTGTTTCTGTCTGACAAATCCGATCAAGGCTTTCTGAATAAGAAAATGGGATGTTAGGTCATGCATACCATGTAACCTTTGCCATGTTGCTAATGCCTATATATACGACTTTGCTGTGCGAGGAGATTTTCCTGTTAAGGAGAAATGAGCGATAAAATGCATAAGGTGATCAACTGGGGCGGGCCATATGTGTGGCAGGCTGAAAGAGATGTGGAAAACATTAATTGACTTTAGTGCAGACTCATACAGGTTCCATGTGTTTAGTGCTAGAGAAGACCGACTAGACGTTGCACCTCTGTCGTCAGATCTGCCATATGTCCTGTGGTATGTGTGCTGGTATGACGCTGCTTCCTTGAACCTGGATCACTGAAATCTCGAAAGTGCATCAGCTATAACGTTTGCATGCGTAGGAATATACGATGCTTTGAACAAGATATTATGTTGTAAACAGAGGAGTATCAGGCGCCTAAGCGACGACATAACTCGGGGTGGTTTTGCCGTTTGTTTATTGATAATCGCTACCACTGCTTGGTTGT